GGGAACAGAGCACGCAGAAGGACCCAAGTACACTGCTGAGGGGAGCAGCGGGCGGCAGGAGAGGTCTGCGCACCATGTGGGACCCTCCTCTGGTGGCCGGGGAGCAGCCGGGGATCGAACCGGCACCGCAGAGGCTGCGGGCAGCTTCGCAACCCAGCGCTCAACCACTGCACCACCTGGGAAGCCCTACATTTGCATTTTAATAGGTTTCATAACATCAAATAGATCTCTTATAAAATGACCTAATACTGTTCACCCATTAATTATGTTAACTTACTAAGGTGTTTCTAAATATCACATGCTATCTGCATCATTTTCCTTTTATTACTTTGTATTGAATTTATAGCTCAGTTTCAAAATGTGTATCCAGTTTTCCTATTAATGGACATAGCAGGCAGGTGTCTGCATTTATCAGGGTCCTTTTTAAAGACTTTGATTAAAGTTTTAAAATTTTCTCCATAGTTTATTTATTTATATTTAACACCTTATAATGTTTTAGTATTAGAAATGATATCTTCTTTGAAGATATAGTTCTATGTGTTAATAATGTGTAACAATGTCACTGATTTTGTACACTGATCCAACAACTTCCCTTTTATTATTAAATAATATATTTTTTTCAGGAAAATAATGCAAAACGATAATCCCTTTTACAAACGATGTGAAAATGTATCAATCTCCTAAATTTCATTCATGGTCAGTAAGAACTTTCTAAAGCAAACTTCTTGTATTGTCTTAAATTTTGTTAAATGTAAAAGATAAATAAATGACAGATCATGCAATCAAACAGGTCTTGAATAAAATAATACTATTTGCATTATTTAGAAATAGTTCTTCAAGAACGATCCATAAATACCACTAACACTTATCAGACAAAGCCGAACGTCCTTAATTATGGGTCTTTTACAGCGTTGTTTGTTCCTTGGTCTCTAACTTTCGTAAGTGAAAAATCAAAGAATGATATGTTTTTCTTTTTTTTCCAAAAGTTCTTAAGTTCTTGGTGCATGCACAGAAATCCAAGGGCATAGTACAGAAAATAGTAACTCTATGAAGAGAGTAGTTCAATGATTGACAATGTTGTTGGAAGTTTAGAATAGGGAATACCAATGACCTCATATGTGGAAGTTCAAGTAGGAACTTGTTGCAATCAAATATTAGGGTAGGAGGGTTCTACAATAATTCTTCACCCCATAGGGCATTTACATAGCAATATTTGGTTCAAATGATGAACTTATTTAGCTATACAGACACAAGGCTAAAAAGCTTACCATCCCCCGCCCCCTTGTCTACTTCAAGTCCTGAAAAGACAAACTTCTATTTGTAGTTGCCTGAATTCTTCTAGAGGAACATAGAATAGTGCAACTAAAAAGAATTTTTGTAATTATCCCAAGTTTTCATTTTTACAAATCTTGTCCATGGCATTCATGGTGGAGTTAGGTGACTATCTTGCTCAAAGGCCCAAGACATGAATTTTCCCTCTTGCTTTTTGTTGAAAAGTCAGACAAAATTGATAAATGCTGTTGGAAATGGGAAAAGCATCATTTTGATGGGTGAAAATATCTATTTTGTTATTTTTCTAAATAGATATTTTGATATATGTAGAAAATCTGAATATGTCTTTGGGGTGACCATGTTTGTTTAAGGGGTGAAAGAAGTGGAGACAAGCACACATAATCAAGAGAAGTTGAAATCCTTGACAATGAAAACTTGGAGAAAAGCTTGGTTTGCATAATTAATTTGAACAGATAGTAAAAAATCACAAGCCAGTTCTCTAAAATTGATTATAAGCTGCCTTGGGCTAATGTCTCTGCTTTTGTTGATGAGGCTGTTTAGCTGTACATATTTATGAGAAGATATAAATTAAAACCACAATCTCTCTAATAGGCAGTTATAAATGACCTCTAATTATAGGTTTAAACACAGTCCATTCTAAAACAAAGTCATCATTTTCCCTTCCCATATGTTTCTCAGTTATAGGAAGAGATGTTCAGAAATTTGGAAAGAATTTGAAGACTGAAATCAAAACATGTTGAATCATGTTTCCAGTCTATCACCTATTAGTTATATGATCTAAATAAAATTATATTAAGCACACATTACTGATCACCAATAGGGGTTAGATTATGCCCCCCTCAAAAAAGATATATTTAAGTTCTAACCTGTGCCCCCATACTTGTGGATGTGATTTTATTTGGAAATAGGGTCTTTGTGGATTTCATCAAGTTGAGATGAGATAAAAGTGAGGTCATTATGGTAGTCCTCACTCAGTCTGATTATTGAATTCAACTTGCGTCCATATCAGAGGAGGAAATTTGGACACAAACATACCCAGGAAGAACACCAGGTAACAAAAAAGGGAGATTGGAGCACTGCATCTGCCAGGTAAGGAATGTCAGATTACCTCGGGGGCTTCTCCAACAAGTTTTAGAGGAACTCTAACCTTGCTGACCCCCTTATGTGAACTTCTAGTTTTCAGGGTAATGAGACAAAAAAATTATCTTGTTTTAAGCCACCCAGTCTATGACACCTAGGCAGCCCTAGGTAATATTTTATATTTTTCTAATTTTGTTAACTTGCCAATTGTTAACACAACTATATAATTCTGGGATTATAACTTCATCTCTGCCTATGTGCATATGCTTTAATCACCCTCCACCAAAGCGTCAAGGCCCAGACCCAATCACTTTCCCTCCACGATCATTTTCTACCCCTTGATCCCCTCGAGTAACCAATACATTTTTCACAGTCCAGTTATTATTTTTTATTGTGTCTTGCCAGTTTGTTTTCTTTAGCTACCTTATTCTGCAAATGAGTGAAACTACCTGGCAACTGTCCTTCACTTTCTGTCTTATTTCACTGAAACTAATCACCTTAAATTCCATCCATTTTACCCCAAAAGGCACTATTTTATCTTTCTTTTTTTAAAATATTTTATTTATTTATGCATACATCGGCTGGAGTGCAGGCCAGAGGTACAGGGGGTGAGAGGATTCACCAGAGTCTGAGTGGGGAGCAGAACAGGGAGATCTACTGAAATACACTGCTGAGGGGAGCAGCGGGTGGGACAGAAGAGGTCTGCTGTGCCATGTGGGTAGCTCCCTGGCCAGGGATCAAACTTGTTCTGCAGTGGCTCCTAATAGTTTGATAGTGGTGAGACTTAACCCCTTATACCACCAGGGAGACCCCTACTTTATCTTTCTTAATGGCTTTGTAATATTCTTTGTGATCTATCAGTACCACAGGTATGTATTTACCAAAGAATATGGAAAGACTAATACAGAAGGACAAAAGAGCATGCCCTGTGTTCCCAGCAGCATTTTTCACAATATAGTCACATCATGGAACCGACCTAAGTGCCCAAGGACAGATGGTGGGATAAGTCCTAGGAAATGAACGAAATCACCAGGTATGTCTGATACGTCACAATATAAGCATATGTGCTTGGATGCATATATGTATGGTGGGAGTAGCTTTATTTTACAACAGTTCTCAAAAGTAAAAATTATCAGATTTCACTGATAAAAAAAGATGTATAATGAAGTTAAGAAATTTGCCTATACAGTTAGTCAGTGGGTCGTGAAGAGGGTATTCAATCCCTGTTTACTTGTCTCCAAAATCAATTTTCCCCACTATTCTAACTACTACATAGCATTGGTCAGAAACTTAAATGCTTCTTTATACTTTATTTCTCATGTTTCAGATTATTTAGAAAATTAATGATAAAATATGTATATATATATATGTACATATATATAAGCTTGCAAATTATCTTACCCATAACTTCAATTACTCCCCCCATTCTCACTAATTTGTTTTGTTTATTTAACAAATAATTATGGAACTGATGTTTTGTGCTAAGCACAGTTCTAGAAGCCTGCCCACTGCAGGTTCAGAGCAGCTTAACCTCAAAATCTCTTCTTTCATCTTTGATTTTTGTGTCATTCAACTACCCTCCAACTATTAATAAATCTCAGGGAAATAAGAATCAACAATCTCATTATTCTTCTCTTAGGACTTATAAGAAAGAAAGAGCAGTCTTTATTACAAAGAGCCTGGCACAATCTTTCAAGTCACTCTTCTCTCTCTTACTAAACTTGAAGGCACTCTGAATCCCCAAGCCATCGCTTGCACCAATTGGTAATTAGCTTTCTAATCATCACTTCTAAGAAATGTCAGCCTTGCAAGCATCGCTAAGAAAAAAAATGTTTCCATATCATGATTCTTGCTGTAACACTTGAACAGGTTTTTAAGAAACGATAAAAGGACTTAATTTTAAGGTAGATACTAAAAGAAGAAACCAAACATTTAATAAAAAAACATAATATGAGGGCCTTCTTGGTGGCACAAGTTGTTAATTACAGCACTATGAAGCTATCCACAGCCTCTGCCACACAAGATCAATTCCCGGCCGGCCAGGTGGCTGCCCACATCAGACTTCTCCCTGTCTCGCCTGCTGCTCCCCTCAGCAGTATATTTCAGTTGGTCCACCTGTTCTTTTCCCCACTCTATCTCTGGTGAATCCTCTCATCCCTCACACCTCTGGTCTGTATCCCAGTTCTTGTAGGCATAAGTAAATCAATCTCAAAAAAAAAAAATAATAACATGAAGTCCTCTGCAACGGCCATCCCCAAAATACTTTCTAAAGCAGAATCATCAGTGTGATAACTTTAAAATTAGTAAACATTACCAATGAGATAAATAAAAACATACAGTGTTCATGCAACGAAACAGCTTTATTGAAAAATAACCAAGGAGATGCCACATGTGACCCCATCTGTGACGTGCCCAGTCACCTTCTGGGATGAGGCTCTGTTGTTATTATTCATCAGGGTTTCTCTCTGAGATCTGACACTTTTCATTGTACAGATGGTCAGGCAGTCATAGAGGCATCAGGATTTTGAAGTGCATAGAAAGAGTTGAAGAGCTTGCAGTAGGTTGAGGTCTAAAGTTCCAAAGTACCAGTTGTGTTATTCTTTTCAGTAGGAGCTGGAGAATCCATATCAATAGGCTCCAAATCCAGAGCCATATCCCCCATAACCTCCAAATCCAGAGCCATAGCCTCCATAACCTCCAAATCCAGAGCCATAGCCTCCATAACCTCCAAATCCAGAGCCATAGCCTCCATAACCTCCAAATCCAGAGCCATAGCCTCCATAACCTCCAAATCCAGAGCCGTATCTTCCATAGCTTCCAAATCCAGAGCCATATCCTCCATAGCCTCCAAAGCCACAGCCCAGGCCACCAAAGCCTCCGTAGCCATAGCCCCGGCCTCCGTAGTAGCTGCCGTAGTAGCTCATGGTGTCAGGAATTGTGGATTTGGGTTGAAAGGAAGGAGTGTTTCTCAAGTGTAAATGTCTCCTTCTGCCCAAGGACTCTTATATAGCTCAGAAAGAGGTGTGGCGATAAATATAGACCAGTATAATCCTCATTCCATGGCCTCAAAGACATGAAAGGCATTCTCTTTCATTTCTTTGTCTTCCAATTTAGGACTGTTTGAACAGATTCCAATGAAATACTCTGTGTCCATGTTGACAATGATTATTGTGCCTTCAAAGACACATGTGAGGTGAGTACTGCCATAAAACCCTTTGGTCAGGCATCACAGCCCCTCATTGTCATTCAGAATGATGAATTCACTCTATTGATTGATGGCAATATCCTAGGGTACAATGCTGATTAGGTAATAGGGCTGCAAAAAAAATGCTGGTGATGCTTGTTTAAATTCTAAAGTATGCTACTTTTCTAGTTCACTCTGCTCCATTACAATTTTGAGAATTTAATGTTTCTAACTGAATTCAGTTGTTTATAAGGTTGACCACCATCAATTTCATACTCTTTTTAGAAAGAACTTATGGGATTTTTTTTCACAATACACTGAATTTATAATATTTTTCTCAAAGATCTGAATTTGGCAGTGAATTTAATATTGAATTTCCATATAATTTACCAGCCTGGTCTAGGTCATGAAAGAATTCAACATCATATTCTTATATATTTTTACAATATATTATTAATTTTTTAATGGAGGTAATGCTAATTTACACCATTGCTTGTAGGTTTGAAGTGCAGGATTCCTCCCCTTCAGGTGTTACTATCATAGTACACCCACCACCCAGGCACCCATAGTCCATTGTGAGCCCCCCCACTTTGTTCTCATCCCTCTCTCTCTCCTCTCTTGAACCTGTTGGATTTTCTTTCTTGAGCCAAAGAGAAACCAATGTAAAAGATACATTGATTTTGTCTGCTAGTTGTCTATAGATTCATTTTTTATAATAAAATCACCAATAACAAGCATCTAAATGATCTAATGGAAACCAATGATATACCTGAAAGATAATACAAAACAATAGTTTCATTGTTGATTGGCAACAGGACCATTTTTGCACTCAAACCACAAAATGTTAACTTAAATTACACATCCATTATCTCACAAAAGCGATGAATGCTCATTGTTCCCTAAGTGGCAGAACTGTCAATATTACAAAACTTAATCTAGCTAAGATTTCCATAAGCAAGCTCTCCATAAGGCTCTCTCTCTGACCTTTTGAGCCTTGAGTGTGAAATGTCCTGAAAAGACAGCAATTATATCACTTCCTGAAGGAACTCTCAGACACAGAATTAACCCAAGGTAAAACATATGTGTGATCAAGAGCATATCTCTGACCTACTAGGAAATCCAGGGATGAGAATTTTCATTGTTAAATGTAATGACAAGTGATGTTGAACATTTTTTCATATGCCTGTTGGCCATTTGCATTTCCTCTTCAGACAAGTTTCTTTTTAGCTCTTCTGCCCATTTTTTGACAGGATTATTTTCTTTGTTGTTGAGTCTCATCAGCTCTTTGCAGATTTTTGTGATCAGTCCTTTATCATTAGTGTTGGGTGCAAAAATGTTCTCCCAGTTGGTGGGTTTTCTCTTTGTTTTTGTTATTGTCTCTTTTGCTGTGCAGAAGCTCTTTAATTTGATGTAGTCCCAGCTGTTTATCTTTGCCTTCACTATCACTGCTTTGGGTGATGTGTCTGTAAAGATGTCTTTGATGTGCAAATCACGTAGTGTTTCGCCTATATTTCCTTCTATATATTTTATGGTTTCAGGTCTTATGTCTAGTTCTTTAATCCATTTTGAGTTGATTTTTGTGTATGGTGTGAGGTCATCAGGGAAATGCAAATCAAAACTACCATGAGATACCATCTTACACCAGTGAGAATGGCACATATTAAAAAAACTAACAACAACAAATGTTGGCGAGGGTGTGGAGAAAAAGGAAGTCTTCTGCACTGTTGGTGGGAGTGCAAACTGGTCCAACCACTGTGGAGAGCTGTGTGGAGATTTCTGGACCTACTAAACATAGAGCTTCCATATGATCCAGCAATTCCACACCTAGGTATTTACCCAAAGGACACAGAAACATCAATTCCAAAGAGCACCTGCACCCCTATGTTTATAGCAGCACTGTTTACAATAGCTAAGCTTTGGAAACAACCCAAATGCCCAAAAATAGATGACTGGATCAAGAAGATGTGGTACATATACACCAGGGAATATTACTCAGCATTCAAAAAAGATAAACACATGCAATTTGCAGCAACATGGATGGCGCTGGAAGGGATCATGCTCAGCGAAATAAGCCAAAAAGAAAAAGAAAAATACCGGATGGTCTCACTCATAGCAGGAATCTAGAAAACTTAAATAAGGGACCAGGAAAATGAATAACTATAAGAAAGTGAAAATCAAAATCAACAAAAAACTATGAACCAGAGACACTTTTAGGGGGCGGGGGCGGGAGGGGAGGGATTGGGTCAGAATGGGGGGGCTGCAATTGTATGGGGAATATAAAAATAAAATTTATTATTAAAAAAAATAAAAATAAAAATAAAAAAAAATAAAACCAAAACCAAAAAAAAAAAAAATGTAATGACATTTCCCTTGAACAATATATTCAGTAAAAATTTATTTTTGAAGCAACTATGATTTTTTTTGGGGGGAAAAAAAACCTGCCAAAAAATGTTTTTGCATGCCTTCCTGGTAGCGCAAGGGGTTAAGACACAACCTATGAAGTTGTCCTCAGCCACTGCAGCACAGGTTCAATCTCTGACCAGGGAGCTACCCACTTGACACAGCAGACCTCTTCTAACTCGCCCGCTGCTCCCCTCAGCAGTGTGTTTCAGTCAATCTGCCTGTTCTGTTCTCCACTCTGTCTCTGGTGAATCCTCTCACCGCCCCCACACCTCTGGCCTGTACCCCATTTCTTGTATGCATAAATAAATCTTTAAAAAATGTTTTTGCAAAGTAATTTATTTAAAGTGAAATTAGTAATTTCAAAACAATTTCACATACATAACTTTCTTTGATCTTATCAACAACTCTGTGACTTATAGCCGAAAAATGTTTCATTTTGTAAAAGTATTTTGCATTTGGAAGTAGAATTATGCAATTTTGTAATGATTTCTGAAAGTCTGAGAGATTTTGTTAAAATTCTGTGATCAAACAAATGTGACTTAAGTGAAATTCTTCTCACTTTATTCTTAATTCAAATTATGTGAAGGAAATGCCTCCAAAAATGTTTAAGAATCAAAATATAACAGCTAAATATACAATCTGGTTTCTAATTAAGACTGGGAAATGAATTGCTAATAGTTTACAATTTTTCATGTTGCCCATTGCTTCTGTCATTGAAAGTTCCAATTAGTCCTAATCCATAGCTTCTTTGGATCACAAAATCCTATTAATGATTTTTTTTCCTTTAACAGACTTTCATTGAGCACATTTCTCTGTGAGGTAGGTTATTAATATAAGAGGCAGATACAGAGCCTGAACTCAAAGCTTGTGCAATAATAGAGACAAGATCATCAGCGCAGTTATTACCTGTGATGGTAATTCACAAGTCTGCCCCCTAGTTCTACAGTCCAGCAAATAAATATGGAACAAATCATTTAGATCTGAATTAATTTCTCAATAAAAGTGAACAATTTTATTTCACAGCAATTTGACACAATAAACCATTAATTAATAAAAAAGCAGCATCCATGCCACTACATTGCTCTAAGTATTTATGATTTCCTTATTTCGTACTAGAAAGAAAATAGCCAGCAGTCATTAAAAGCCTGCTTAAAGAATGAGAAAAATCTTTTGCCAGGTCTATTTCCAATTTTATTGTATTTAAAGGTTTTAAGATTAAATGATATGTAAATGTCCCTGGAACCCAGTTCTTCCCCAGCAAGATGTTATATTAAAATTAAGCATTGAGCAGATGCCTCCAAAGTTCATCAAATGACCATGCTTTAGGAAAAGACAGCAAAATAAACCATAGTAACGTGAATTCAACATTTTCCATCCTCATCATTATTAAGAATTGCAATAAGCTGGACCTCCCTGGTGGTGCAAGGGGTTAAGCACAGCACTATGAAGTTATCTGCAGCTTTTGCAGCACAAGTTCTATCCCAGCCAGCCAGGGAGCTACCCACATGGCACAGCAGACCTCTCCTGTCTCGCCCGCTGCTCCCCTCAGCAGTATATTTCAGTCAATCTGCCTGTTCTGCTCCCCAATATCTGGTGAATCCTCCCACCCTGCAGCTTTTGCATCACGAGTTCTATCCCAGCCAGCCAGGGAGCTACCCACATGGCACAGCAGACCTCTCCTGTCTCGCCCGCTGCTCCCCTCAGCAGTATATTTCAGTCAATCTGCCTGTTCTGCTCCCCAATATCTGGTGAATCCTCCCACCCTGCACCTCTGGCCTGTACCCCAGTTCTTGTTTGTATAAATAAATAAATATTTAAAAAAAAAAGAATTGCAATAAGCCTACCAGGCACAATCTAGAGGAGCATGGTGCAGTGTCAGTTTATTTTTCACCTTTTGATGTAATTGTCACACCATCTCCCCCAGATCCCATTCCAGTGTACAAAGTCCTTGTACTAACATTTCAGATGACATATTCTGGAGAGTTCAAAACACTGAAAGTGGCCACAAAAACAGAGCTCATGAGGAATAGGGCAGAAAGTGATATCAAGTATTTCTATAATGCAGGAAACTGATGAGACCTTGAGTACTATCCAAAATAGTGATATTTCAAGGAAGTTCAGATTACTAGAAAGCCTGGAACCCATAATAAACCTGTTAAAAACAAATGATCTAAATGTATACCCCAAGTTAAAAGGGCTAAGGGTTCGGTGGATGATGGTGGAGGATTATTGAGGCTTTTGTGGTGGGTGTGGTGTAATAAGATACATTTGTAAAGGTGTGTGTCTATATCCTGAAAACATATGCAATATAAATTAATGTTACCTAAAGAAATGTAAATAAAATAAATAAAAGTATACTCCAGGAAATAAATTGGTAAACGCACTTCTTGTTTTAAATTCACTCTTCAATTTTACTTTTGAGAGAGAATACCTTTTGGAAGCGAGAAACTCACTTTGCAGGCTAGAAAACAGAAGTCAATTAAATTAACTTCTTAAGGAAGCAGAGTAGATTCCTCTCTCTCTCTCTCACTACCTACCTATACATCTACATTTATATATTTTTAATTTGAGATAGAAAAAAGTCTTTAATATGCACATCTATATGGGGCATTAGAAATTTGAAGATTCAGCATCACTGGGTACAAGGGCATTTATATAGTAATTTTTGATCTTACATATTAATGTAAATCTTATTTTCACCACTGTAGATTTGCTGTCTCAGATAAGCCTCAGTATACACACCATGCTGATTGGAATAAAGTTTGCAATTCATTTTAAAGTCATAAAAATAATATGCACAAAATGATTTTATAAAATCAAAATCACACACACAAACCATTGCAAAGGAAGGTGAGGATGCGTGGATATACAGAGTCCTATCCAACTTATCACCCCGGATCCTCAAGACTTAGGGCAATGACTTGCACATACAGTGAACCTTTGTTGAATCAAATTCATTCATGAAACAAAACATTGATGAATCAAAACACCACTTCAGAAGAAAGAAAAGCTGTGTCCTGAGTTAAATCCTTCATACCCATCAGAAATGTACCGAAATGAACCAATTAAACCACATTTCCTATGTCAGTCAAATATCTTTATTCAAAAATCTTTTAAAATATAGGTTATACATAGTCACAAAAGATTTTAGTGATCAAATAATAATGTATAATTTTTCCTGATCAGTGGAAAAGTTCCAGATTCTTCCAGAGAGAAAAGGGCTAGTTCCTTGCTGCCACAGTGAGGCCAATAAGTGATACTTTCTCTACATCAAGAAAAGTGCCGCCATGGGTGAAGCATATGGCCAGCTGCATGGGGAGAGAGTGTGAGGATCTACAGGCTTCTAGTAGGAGCCGGAGAAGCCATATCCTCCACAGCAGGATGGGCGGCAGCAGCCACACCTGTAGCCCCCATAACCTCCATAACCCCCATAACCTCCATAACCTCCATACCCTCCATAGCCTCCATAACCCCCATAGCCTCCATAACCCCCATAGCCTCCATAACCCCCATAGCCTCTGTAGTCTCCATAGCCACAGCCACAGCCGCAGCCCCATCTGCGGAAGCTGCCACAGCCACAGCCACAGCCCAGGCCACCGAAGCCTCCGTAGCCGTAGCCCCGGCCTCCATAGTAGCTGCCAGAGTAGCTCATGGTGTCAGGGGAGGTAAGTTTGGTTGGCGGCTGTAGATGATTTCCCACAGTTTGAGTGTCTCTAGCTTCCCAGAGGGGGTTTATACCCTCAGAAGTGGGTGTGGTAAATATCACTGCCAAGTGAACTCATTTCTATATAACAGAATAATTTAAAGTCCACACATTTTTTGAATAGTTCTTTTTCTTACTTACCAAAAGTTCTAGATTCTTATTAAAGGACCTTTGGTAATAATAATTATTTTTCAGCGAGTTTGCATTCCTAAGTACAAAATGCTTCCAAGATGAAAAATGATGATATTAGCTTCTTCAAAGGCCATGCTGGTGTTCTAATTAAAATGGTCTAATCTGGCTGATAGCTTCCAGTAGCCTTGTAATTACATAACCTCAGATTGCTTCTCTCTTTAATTTGCATTCCATTGTCTTAGCTACTTATCATTCTAAAAACCCAAGGTCTTTTCTCCATGGTGTTCAGGACAAAGGTACAAAGTCATTAGTGCTTTCCAGATATCAAATTTAGAGCAAACCTCATTTTTCAACTTGTTTTTTTCTTTTTGCTTTTTTGTTCAGTTTGTTTTGGCTTGTTAAACTTTTCTTGACATTTGGCATTGCTGCGCTACCACCATCCTCCATTGTGCTAAGCTCCCTTCTCACATTTTCTATGGCAAACTTTCAATTAGCTTTCTCTTCTAATTCCTTATTAGTCTTTTTCACAATTCCTTATCCCTCCATTACCTTTAAAAGTGTCCCTTTCCCTATGTATTCAAAGAATGCACTTCTCCTTGGAAGTTCATTAAATGTTATTTTTAATAACAATGAATATACTAATGACTTTCAAAAGAGTTTTTAAACATCAACTCCATTGATTTGAAGAGTGAGGATCTGCCATTTGAACTATACTCAAATTACATATCTTCCCCAAAAACTGTCTCTTTGCTGTATATTAGTCACTCAAGCCACGTACCACACTGTGATTTTGAATTCTCACTCATATTTTTCTCCAGACTGACCATCAGAAATTTGCACCCACTTGGTCACCCACTGAACCACTTAAATAATATTTCATTACTACTACTCAAATTTGTGGGGCCTCTCCCGTGGTGCAGTGGTTGAGTGCCGGGCTGTGAAGCTGCCCACAGCCTCTGCAGCATTGGTTCAATCCCCAGCCGCCGGAGAGTTTCCCACATGGCGCGCAGACCTCTCCTGTCGCGCCCACTGCTCCCCTCAGCAGTGTACTTCGTCGGTCTGCCTGTTCTGTTCCCCGCTCTGGCTCTGATGAATTCTCTCACCCTCCTGTGCTTCTGACTGTACCCAGTGCTTGTATAAATAAATAAAATCTTAAAAAAAAAATACTACTCAAAATTTTCATTGCTGTCACTTCATTTAACCCTCTGTCACTTTCTCCTGCGTTAATGTAAGAGGTTTCCTAAAGGTCCTCATACCCCAAAGAAAAGGCCCTCATCTCATTTGTTCTCCATGCTGAGTTCAAGTTGAGATACTAAAAAACAAGTCTGATCATTTCATTTTTAAGACACTGTATCTTTTAGTCATTGGGAAAAATATTAAACTCCTTAAATTCACCAAAAAAACACCTGTTTTTCATCACCAAACCTATTTTGTCTTTATTCTGGTCTCTAACCTAACAATTAAAAGCAGTGAAAATGGTAAATTCTAATATGTATTTTAACACAAGAAAGAAGAAAACAAAAAAAATATTCAGCGCATCCAGAAAAAGATCAAATAACTTACAAAGACCAAAGAATTATACCCTCTGAGGCAGCACACAAAGCAAAGCAATAATTTTGCAACTTTTTCCAAGGAAAGAAAATATGAGCCAAACATTTTGTATCTGACCATTATGTCCATCTAATATCCCAGCTATTAAAAAAATTAGTTTTTAGCTAATCAAAATGTTAGGGATTACCGGACCCAATGGAGGATCCAAATTATATGGAAAAGTTTGGCCCAAGATTATGTTCAAGAATTGAATCTATTTAATTTTTTATCTAAAACAAAACCAAATATGAGGATATGTAAACATAGTACAAGAAAGTAATTGATAGTTGATTAAGAACTAATCATCAATGTTTATCATTCGAAAGAGACAAATAAGAGAGTGAAAATTTAAAGAACAAAAAGATCATATGAAATTTCTGTTTTTAATTTTTTGAGCATCTTCACTGCTTCCATAATGACTGTGCCAATTTATATTCCATCAACAGTGTATAAGGTTTCCATTTGGTCGACATTCTTTTCAACACTGATTTCTTATCTTTTGGATAATAGCCATGCTCACAGGTATGAGGTGATAGCTCACTGTTATATTGATTTGCATTTATCTAATAATGAGATTAAAAATAAAGATTCTCCTGACACAGATTGGACAAGATTTAGAAGTCAGCACCTGAACTCTGCTCCTTGTGTAGGCTTCATCTGGCTGCTCATTAGCTTCTGATTTTCAACAGAACTATAGTCCATAGGTTTCAGGTTTATTAACAATAAACTAAAAGTGTTTAAAAGAGCACTAAAAGCACTCATAGCACATCAGCAGTGAACAGAAAATTCCATTCAAATTCTCTTTCACTCATTTTCATTTTCAGCCAGTAAACTCCATTAATCACTGAGGGTCAAAATTGTCTCATCTGACAATTGTCTCATCTGAGGGAAGAGGTTAGAGGTTTATCATTAATCTTTTCCCTGTTACCATGTATTTAATATTTTGATGCTATCATTGTTTTCATAAACCTGAAGGATTTTTAAATTTGGTTTTCTATTTCTATGTAAGTACAAAAGCAATGCAATTTTGTAAACTAAGTATATACTAATTAAATGATAAATTTATTATAAATTATAATAATTTCCCAATTATTATACTTATTAATAATAATTAGATATGGTCAAATGGTTTTCTATATTAGCATATGAATAATATGATTATAATATATGATTATTATGTTATTATTATTATTATAACACTACTTTTATTATTTTTGCCTAGTAAAAATTGTTAGGGTAATGATAAATAGAACTGATAAGAGAAGAAATCCATGTCTTTATAAGCTCAAGAAAAAAACATTTATTTTATCATCAAATAGCACATTAGTTTTAGGGGGAGAGGTTTGTTATTATTAGATGTCCTTTTTTATGGTTCACTTCTTGTTCTAATGAAAAAGCACTTGCAAGTCATCACTTCCATTCTTGTGACAAGCAAAAGGTCAGGGAAAAAGCACCCCGAAAATTATTGATTTTTATTGGACTTCCCAGGTAACTGATTTCGGAGCAAACTGAGCAAAAAAGCCTGGAGAAAGTGGGTACATTTATACTCACTACCCAGTTCTGCTTACCTGGAACAGAAGCCACTGGTGCCCCGAACAGCTTACATGGCCATTTTGACATAATTTTTTAAATTTATTTTATCTATTTATGCATACAAGAGTTGGGTGTAGGCCAGAGATGTGTGTGTATGGCGGGAGGAAGGGGAAGAGATGAGAGGATTCATCAGAGACAGGGCGGGGAGCAGAACAGGAGGATCTACTGAAATACACTGCTGAGGGGAGCAGTAGGTGAGACAGGAGAGGTCCCTGGCCTGGGATTGAACTTGTGCTGCAGTGGCTGGCGATAGCTTAATAATGCTGAGACTTAACCCCTTGTGCCACGAGAGAGGCCCAATTTTGACATCTTAGTGGAGGTTGAGTGGTACTACCATGAGAAACCCCGGGGTCCAAAGTTTTTAAGGGCCGGCCAGTGGTTGCCTGCAATAATTTCTTCAGGTTTTCAAAATGGTCAAGTTCAAGTCAAATTAACTTCCTGGTTCTGGCAGAGGGAGGGAAAAGCAATCATTATGAAACTCTTCTGGAGTCTTCTCAATAACAAAAGGCGACTCAACAAAGAAAAAGACCTAGACATAGCTTTACCCTAGGGAAAGGTAATTACTTCTTCTCCAGCCTCTTTGAGTCCTGCAGGCTCACCTAAGAGGGAGAAGAGTGTACAGGGAACAGAACTCGAGTTAGATTGGACACCAGACATCCAGGGAAGGCAGTAAGCGAGGTCACTGAGGAGCACCTGTGAAAGCCAGCCCAGAGATGCAAGACCACTAAAACACCGAGATTTAGTTGTAAAATTGCAGAATGATCTTCCCCCTAAACCTTATCACAGCAACGGGGTTCCTGTAGAATAATGGATCACAGCAGAGAAAGCTGCTACATACTCTCTCTGAAGAAGAGCACTTAGTAAATTCTAGTCAGAAGGAAATAAGCCTCTGGCTCCCACGGGGACAGCACATTTAACACAACCCAACTCTCACACATCAGGAATTCTCACAATAATGGTCTCTGTCTCAGCTCCAAGTTCCAAGTAAAACACATCTGACTTTCAACAACAAAAATACAAGGCATGCCAAAAAGGCAAGGAAAAAACCCACTTGAGAGAGAAAATCAATCATTAGAATCAGATGTGATGCTGGAATTAATAGGCAAAGAATTTCAAAGAAACTATGGATAAGATATTATGTTTTTTCCCAATTTATTTGGCTAATATATTGACTTGGGCATATGTGGTTCTAATGTTAAGCTTTTCTTGCATTCTTCAAATAAATCTCAATTGATTGTGATATATTGCTTACTTCATATATTGCTAGATTAAATTTGCTTTTATGTTTTTAAGAAATTTGAATTAATAGGAATACCAGAGTGTGACTTTTTCTGATAATAATCTTATATTTTAATTTTGAGATTTTGCTGCAAGTGTATAGATGTGTTCCCTCTTATTCTCTGAAAGAGAACGTGTTTAATATTCATCTGTAAAGCCATCTGACCTGAAATTGGTATTTTTGGCAAGATTTCTAATCATTGATTAAATGTCTACATGAAGTTCAGAACTACTCGTATTTTTACTTCATTTTGCATTAGTTTTCCTATTTTTAATTTGAATTAGAATGTTTTTAATTGTGGTAATATTGGACAACGTCATCAAGTATCAATACCATAGTGCACCCACCACCAACTCCTGACATCCCACCACCATAGTCCATTGTGCTTCCTTCCCATTTTGTTTTTACCCCACCCCCAGCTCCTCCCTCCTTGGTGCTTCAGTTCTATAGTCAGCTATCAAGGGCTAGTTTTTAAGTTTGTCTTTAACCAATTATTAACTTATTCTCTATTCCCCATATTAGTGACACCATCCTTCTGACTTACTTAACTTAGCATTATCCCATGGTTGTTGAGGTAACATTTATTGACAATACGGGATATGACTTAGGGAGATAGGTTCACAGGACTTCAAATGTATCTCACCACCATAACCTCCACCAAAGCACCCTTATCCCTTGATCATACACTGTTGGGTTCCCTCCCCCTTTTTCCCACACCTCCTTGGCCCTCTAGTAGCCCCAAGTCTGCAGTCATTTTCCTATGGTTTGTTTTAGCTCAGCTTTGTTAGTTCCTTTGTTTTGTTTTTCTATATTCCACATCTGAATAAAATTTAATTTAGTACAATTGATAATATGTATTTGAGGCCAGGATAAATGGTTTATGCATTTATTTTACAAAATATTTTAAACAAAAGAGAAGAGTAAACACAAGAAAGCACAGGACCATTTTTGTAGATTTAACAATTATTAATATTTTGACATCACACATTCACTTTCATTTCTCAAATGATCTAAACTAATTTATATGCAAACTGAAGTTTTTCCTTACTTTGTTTTGAAATGATCATGATAATTTCCAAGAACCAGTGAATCAAAAAATGAAAAATAAGCTGAAGTTTAATATCACAGAGCCTCTTAAATTTTTAGACAAAGAATCCCTACATTTGGTTGGAAACAAACATATAGATCTTGATAATATTTATGAGAGAGAGAAAGATGAAGGAGAACAAAAGGAAAAGGGGGAAGAGACAGGAGTAATGGAAACATGAAAGGAAGACATAATCATGAAATAAAATCTATTGGTACATTTCTTAGCCAAGAAGAAAGTAGCGCCATGGTTGTTGATTATCTTCATGCATTATAGCAAATTTGTTGTGATAAAAGGAATGAAATTCAAAACACATTTGCTATGTCAGAAAAAGTTTATTGTTAGATATCACATATTGAAAGGCAAAGTTTTGTTTGGAGTATAAAGACTTTCCCCATCTAGAAGGGGACCCCAAAGAACACCACTAACCAAACACTATCATCCAGTCCATCAAGTCCTCTTCACATTGTCAGAATCCATGTGGTCCTAACTGCAGTTGAACTTACAAGACAGGATAACAAAGTATACAGGATGGAAAGAAATTTTCTAGAAGAAGTAGTCATACAGAAGGTTATGTGCATGAATTATAAATTTTCAAGTATTGGGCCTCTCCTGGTGGTGCAGCAGTTGAGCACTGTGCTGTGAGGCTGCCTGCAGCCTCTGCAGTGCCAGTTCGTTCCCCGGCGGCCGGCTAGGGTCCCACAAAATAAATAAATGAATGAATGAATGAATGAATAAATAAATTTTCAAGTATTTATTCAGTAGAAGCCAGAAGACCAATATCCTCCACAGCAGGACGGGCGACAGCAGCCACACCTGTAGCCCCCATAGACAGAGCCATAGCCCCCATAACCTCCAAAGCCAGAGCCATAGCCTCCATAACCCCCAAAGCCAGAGCCATAGCCTCCGTAACCTCCAAAGCCACAGCCACAGCCCCATCTGCGGAAGCTGCCACAGCCACAGCCACAGCCCAGGCCACCGAAGCCTCCGTAGCCATATCCCAGACCTCCATAGTAGTTGCCGTAGTAGCTCATGGTGTCAGGGGGTGTGAGTTTGACTTGGTGTAGGTAGTTCTGTGGCTATAACTGTGCAGGGACATTTATATACACTGATGGGTATGGAAAGGCACGCCTCTTGATGTCAGCCAATAAGGCACTACATGACAACTATGCCAAATATCTTATTTCCAAATACCAAACCATGACTTCCAGTTGTTTAGGTATCTAGTTACATAAAAATTATGCAACACATTTGCTTTTCTGTTTCAGTCAAATTCCTAGAAAATTATTTAATTATTAAGATGACATTGTATTTATCGTCCCCATAATTGTTTGCATTTCTGAATTTGAAATTCCATTAACAATTCTCTATAGCTTCAGGCACCTTCAAATTATATCACGAGAGACTGCATTTACCCTTCAAGTATACTCTTTCCTTTGACATTGCACAGTTGTTGACTGTTTTCTAAGCCAAGGATATTATCTTTCTTCTCCCTAGAATTCACATAAACTGAATCATAATTGTTCCCTGAAATCTAGTTTATAAAAACATGACAATCAAGTATGATGTATGTCTCAATACAATGTGCTTTCAAAGTCAGCTGATAATCCCATCCGGTGGTGCAACAATGATTTTATTTTTTAAAAGAGCTACAAACTGAAATCAAAGGAATTCCTCAAGCATCTTGTCTCCTATAGAAAAAGCCTGCTTGGTAGATACTTCTGAAGACTGCATAAAAAGAATTCCTGCTAATCAATAAAAAGAGCTCCCATTCTACAAATCTACTTTTATTTCAGATTCTAAATTCCATTTTATCATAAAAGTATAAAATTTAAGAACTCAAAGAGACTTGAGGCAACATTTACTTCAGTGTACTTCATTTTTTTAAAACTGATGAGAAGGGTACATCTTAGACAAACAATTACCTTTAATGACAAGTGAGGACTAAAACCTAACTGTTCCAACTCAGCCTTCCTTCAGCAGACAAATCTGAAATAGAGGCTATGATTGCAGTTAGGGAGTTTATTCTCCCATCGTGGGCAGCTGCCTTACATTGTTGTTTATCTCATTTTTTTATTTCTACTATCATTGCAGGTAACACAGGTGATATGAAGCCAGCTAGCACATACAGTCAGTTAGCTCTGCTTTAAAAAAAAAGTTGAAAATAGTTGAGTATAAATCAGTATTTTCTGAACTACATTCACACTTTTTACACCTGCTTCCCTTACCAGTTTATTTAGTGATATGATTAGATGCTTGTAGACAGGATTCTGCAACCTATAACTGAAGGGCATTGTTAATGGTAATGAACTTCTTTATTTGAATCTGTTTCAATTAGAAGAGTTTAGATTAAATAACATTTAAGGTAAAATTTTAAAATACAATTAATTTAGTGCTTGTCATAACCAATAATGCAGATATTTTTGCCTGATAGAAGACATAATTAATAGAGGATCTCATAAAAGAAATGTTTTTCTTTCTTTTACCCCTAAAAAAGAAGTCAGCTTCAAGCTCTAAGGTCTGCCAACAGATGAAACACCTTGTCATCAACCTCCTCTTCTCATTCTAAGCAGCACTGCTTCCTACCCAGCCCAGGAAGGACCAAACTCTGCCCAGCACCCCCGACCCCACCCCCGCCAGGACACTTTCTGGTGTCTGCAGAAAGAACATTCTTCCCAGCCTTTTATCTTTCCCAGATATTGCTGCATTCACATCTGCATTTATGCCTTTATATATAGCTAAATGTCAGTGTTAAGGATTCCTTTTATTCTTACAATAATTCTTTATTTTCTCTTTAATCAGCATATATTTTAAGAACATATTCACATAAAAGTCAGCGCTATTGTGTGGTTTTTGAAACAACTATAGAAAAAAAAAGCAAATAATAAAACAGAAACTGCAAAGGATAAGAGAGAACTCCAATTCGCCAAAATGTCTTTTAACCAAACAAACTCTTGATTTCAACCAATTCAACAAGATAATGAAATGTAAACTTTGTTGTCTTCACTTCTTATACCGCCAATAAATGCAAAATGAGTGCAAGAACTTACTAGAAATTTAAAAATTAGCTCAGATTATCTTCATTAGCAAGTTAAAAACTTTAGGATGGTTCTCAGGGGAAATTATCATATGAAAAACAGCTTGATTGGAAAAGAACTGTATACAATATTTATAGAGCTACTCTCTGCAATTTATATTTTTGTTTTTTCAGCAATTTTAATAACTCCCCACCTTTACTCTCTCGTTCACACTCGCTTTCTTTGAAACTTAAATTCAATTTTTTAAAAATGTTTTTCAAAATGTGAATCTTTCTTTTTACCCACCACCCACTCAAAGTTTTACCTTTCCTTACAGTTTCTGTGTTGGCAAAGAGCCTCAAAGATCACCCATTTCTTCAAACCAGGAACCTAGATGCATATCCATGTCAAACTTCTTTTATTTAATTTCCCTAAATTCAAATGAACCCTCATCATTTATTCAACAAATAATGCAAAGCATGAGCCTAAGATCTGGGAGATAAAGTAGAAAGAGAAAAACAAACCCTTCATCCCCACAGGGCAACACTTTAAAGGATAAAACAGACCATAAACAAATAACAGACAATTAATGCACTCAACAAATATTGACTAACCGGCTAGGCTATGCCATGCTCCACATTTTTCTAGGCACTGGGGATCATATTTCAAGGTAGCAAAAAAAGTAGATGAAAAGCCCTATCTTCCTGAAAGTTATACTCTAATGAGGAGTCAACTGATCAAACAAAAGATAACACTATATAGTGATGACAGCCAAAGAGGAAATATAAAGTAGAAGTGGGAACTATGAAATGACCAGTTGAGGGCATTGAGATTGTAGAGAGATTGGTAGGGAAGGCCCCTCCTAGGTAAGCAACTTGTAGGTAAAGACTTACATGATTGTTGTAGAACCATCTCAATGAAAGGGGAGAAGCATCACAGCAGATGAATGGCCATCATTTCCCCTGCCCCTTCTCACACACATTTCCCAGCAGGCCATTAACCAAACTTCCTGCAAAGGGGACTGCTGATTAGGAGAAAGGTGTATATATATATTGGAGGTAGAACAAAGGAAGAGAAGAGAAACTTGGAGCAGACACAATGGGGTGAGACACATGTTGGGCAGTCAGTTGTGTTAAAAAACAAAACTCACAAACTTACAGATCTCATTGCCTTTATTAAATGATTAATGAATAGAAAACATCTTGTGTAGATAATGCAGCAATTTACACAAAATGGTGGTTGCTTATAGATAGAAAGAGGGTGGGACAAGATTATTAGCAAAAAGAAAATAATATTACAGTTCAAATCACCTTCCTTCAGGGAATTCAAGGGGTTTTACCATGCAGATTATTTATGCTGATAGGGAAACTCAAGATTGACTGTTTTAGAAGTACACTTGTAGGGAATTTTGAAACTGCAATAGGTGTTATGTCTGGGTGGGGACCCAAATTGAAGGACTCCATCTTGAACCTGTTTTTTTTAATATTTTTAGAATCTAAGAAGTGATTGTTCAAACAGGATGGGAATAGGTCTCTTAGTTAAATAACATGTGAAGGGAACCCTCTAGTCCCTTCTGGTGTACATGCCTTCTATTACTCCAGCATCATGTATATGCTGGGTATTATATTTATCATTAGTATATTTCATATGGCACAGATATTAAGACAGGGAACATCAGGGCCTCCCCGGTGGCGCAGCGGTTGAGCGCTGGGTTGCGAAGCTGCCCGCAGCCTCCGCAGCGCCAGTTCGATCCCCGGCTGCTCCCTGGCCGCCTGGCGAGGGTCCCACATGGCGCGCAGACCTCTCCTGCCGCCCGCTGCTCCCCTCAGCAGTGTACTTTGGTCCTTCTGCCTGCTCTGCTCCCCACTCTGGCTCTGGTGAATTCTCTCACCCTCCCGCGCTTCTGACTGTACCCAGTGCTTGTATAAATAAATAAATAAAAATAAATCTTTAAAAAAAGACAGGGAACATCATCTATATGAACCTGGACTAATTACATGAGCCCTGCAAAGTAGACTATTCCCTAGCTGGTAGCAGAATAAGAAGTTACAGACTCAGACCATGAGGATGATTTGACAAGTATTTGTTGGCTGCAAGTGGAGGGGGCCATGTGCTGAGGAATATAAGAAGACTCTGATTGCTGAGAGTATCCCCCTCCCTGGCCAGGATGATAATGGACACTAGCCCAACTGTCATATGTATTAATATTGTAATGATCCTGACTGATCAAGATGCATTGACATTGTGATGATTCTGACTGATGCAAGGGTGGGGGCAGCTGAGACAGAGTTGTTATAGAGCAACCCCGATATTAAACGGGTTCCTGGCTGTGGGTCCTCACCCGCGCGCTTTAAAGGGACTTATGAATACTCTACTACAGACACACACAAAAGGGTTAATAAAAGGTTTATTTACAAGAGAAAAAGAAATAAGGAAAATGTACAACTCAGGGAGAAAATAGGGAAATAAAGTCTTTAATGCGTCCTACCCGATCCGACGACCTGGAAACCCAAAGTCACTCTCAGAGCTGGCCGGACGCTGCGAGCTGGCGGAGAGCCAAAAATGGGGGATCCCCAAAGCCCATGTGTCTGCCTTTTATATCCACCTGGCTGCTTAAACCCACCCTCAGGTCCCAGCCACCTTCCCTTTGGTGGTGATGGGATTTGGAGTTCCCAGTGTCTTTGGCTTTGACCTGGGGTGGGGGTGGAGTCCACAAGGCCTATATGGAATTTGCTTTGGGACATCCTTTTCCCCCTAACAATTCCCCCCTTTCACTTTTTGCCACCATTTCCATGGTGATGAAGATCGAATATATGGAGGTTGGGATGCAGTCTTAGATGAACATTTTTTCAGGTTCCAGTGTGAAAGAAAACCAGTCTCTCCAGGTATTTGTCCATTGTGGAAAGCAAAAGTTCTCTACTCCAGGAAAAAAGTTCATCAGTTCAAGCAAAAAAAAAAAAAAAAAAAAAATCTGGAGGCATTAGCCAAAACAAGACAGCAGATATGTAAAAATTATA